CTCACGTGCGGCATTATTGCTGGCCGAGCGACGGCCACCGTCTTTCCTGTCTTCGTCGTTCGGCGACTTAACACGAGAGGTGTGTCCGCCTCGAGTCGCGGACCAAGCGGAGGTTAGGCGGCCGATCCGGCCGACGCGGCAATTTCGAAAGCCGGTCCTCGACGTGCCGGCCGCGAGCAGACGTTCCAGCACGACGGAACGGCCGAGGAGAGTAGCAGAAACGGAAACGGATCGAGAGCACGCGTTCGCAGAGCAGAGGAGCACGCGACGCAGCTTCTCTCGTTTAACCACCCGGCCTCGACTATCCGACGGAACGCTGCTGCGCTCTCTCTCTCTCGCGGGTGCGTGGTTCTTCGCGTCACACGCGCACGAGAAAACGACAACGACAACGACAACGACGACGACAACGACGACGACATTGCTGCGCTCTCTCTCTCTCGCGGGTGCGTGGTTCTTCGCGTCACACGCGCACGAGAAAACGACGACAACGACAACGACGGCGACAACGACGACGACGACGACGACGACGACGACGACCACGCAACGGACACTTGCTTTCTTGATTTTCTGTCTCACTGTTGGTGCAGCTGTTGCTGCTGCTACTGTTGCTGCTGACGCCGCACAGAACGGAGAATACGGAAAAACGGATGGACAGCACAGAGCACAGAGAACGGTTCACCGTCACCGTCACCGTCACCTTTGCCTCCACCACCGTCGTCGACGGAGGAGGTTAGGCTCGTACGTTGCACACTTTTTACTTTCTTATGCTTCTTTTTTCTTTTCTTTTCTTTTCCTTATTTTTTTCCCCCTCGAGACGGGGCACAGAACGAGAACGTTGCACCGTAAGTATAAAAAGAACGCCGCGGTGAGAGGATCGGAACACGAAAAAAACGCACCACCAGTCAAAACACAAAGACGATGTATATAGGATAACGCTTGAACGACAACAACGATGATCACGTCGAGACACGCATGAGAGACATAGAAGCAGAACGACAAACGGCCGGCAACGAGCCGAAGGTTTAACGGCCGACGCGCGTTTCCTCGCGTATTAACCGAAACGTAATCTCGGCGAAGATACGAGGACCGCGTGGGAAGGCCGGCGCACACAAGGGAGGAGAGAAGGAGGTGCGATATACACGGGCGCTGGAAACGAGGGGACAAGGAAGAGGTAACGGTGGAACGTGTGTGATGTAGGTTGAGTCGTGTGTAGAGTGGCCCCCGGACCCCGTGGTGTGTGTCGTATTTAACGCGCGCGCTGCCAGCAACTTTCCGTGCGTCGTCGTGTGTGTGTGTGTGTGTTTTTCTCTCTTTTTCTTTCGTTTCTTATTGCGTGCACCAGGCGCATAGTCCGCGCGCCACGTATCCGCACGATGGTGGCCACGATGCTTTAGCGAGCGCGCGATCCTGCTGCTGCTGCTGCTGCTGCTGTTTCTGCTTCTGCTGTTTTTCCTTCGATTCCGTGTGCAGATAAATACGAAGAACACGCGCGACGAGTACGGCACCACGACGACGGTGACGACGTTGCTGCTGTTCTTGCTGCTGTTGTTGTTGACGGTGCACGCGCCGGACGGCCATCGTGCCCGTGGTTAGGTCCCGAGGTGCGTGTTTGCGTATCTCGCCCCGACTCCGATGGCTCGATGTGCTCTGCCTGGATGCTCGGTGCCGACTGCCGGTCACGGTGAGCTCGGGCGGGCGGCTCTCCCACGCGACGACCAATCACGACGCCGGATTCACCGCCGCGGCTTCCCTCGCCGACGCGCCACCTCGCCCCCACCCTCACCCCCCGCGAGGCCACGGCCGGCCAGTCATGGCAGGCAAGGCGGCGAACCGACCCCACCCGAACCTTTGCGAATTTACCCGAACGCGTAGCATCGTCTTCGTCGTCGTCGCCGCCACCATCGCCGCCACCATCGCCGCTGCCGTTGCCGCTGCCGTCGTCACCGCCACCACCGCCGCCGCTGCCACCGCCGCCACCGCCACCGCTGCCGCTGCTACCGCCGCCACCGCCGCCGCCACCGCCATCACCGCCACCGCTACTACTACTATTACTACTACCACCACTACCACCATCACCGCCGCCGCCGCCACCACCGCCGCCGCTGCTGCTGCTGTTGCTGTTGCTCCCACCGATAGTACCGTCGCCACCGCCACCGCCACCGCCACCACCGATATCGTCACTCCTGCGTACCGTTTTCGTCGTGCGAGAGGACCATCTGCGATCCTCCTATCTCCGTATACCCCCCTCCTTCTCCTACCACACGCGGACACTTATATTCTAACAAACAATAAGCAAAACGTTTATCTTCTATTAAGTTCCATTTGCGACCGTCCGATTTGTCGTCGGGGTTCTTTTTCCGTTCGAATTATGCCGTTTCTTTCCGCGAGGGCCGACGGTAGTTGGCCGGCGTTGTTCGTCCGACGCGCTCGTTCGTTTCCACTGTACTCTAATTGTTCGCAGGATTTTATTATCGTCCAAATGGCTCGCAGTTTCGATCCTATCTAGGCAGAATTTCTCGTCGGTTAATTAATCTAAAGGCAGGAAAGAGTACGCGGTACGACACCGAATTTATATGCTGCACGGGGCAGAACTTCCAACCTTGGAAACCGTAATTTATTATAATTGAAGACGAGCATCGGCGAGTTTCCGACAGTGTCGATAGCGAATGACTTTATGCGAGGCGCAAATTCCCCTATGCTATCCGTTCTACCTGGAAATCTTTCCCGAGTCGAGGAAACTCGTTTGTGAATTTTTCTCCGATCCCGGTTACGCGTTTCAAAGTCGACCCTATAAATTATGCGTCCTGTTAAAGTAACCTTTTTATCCCGCTCGGTGACGCCTCTTCTCTTTCTTCCCATCCGAGCGTGGAATTTAACGAAACGATTCCGCGTTTAATGCCATTTTTCGCGAAAATAAGAGCGGCGTCGATAGTCGCGAAATACGCTTCTCCAGCAGAGTCTGTTACAACCGTTAAGACAGGTGAACGCGCGATTTCTTTATAGCCGCGGGTGAACGATAATTTATGCTAACGTATGCGCTCGCCACTGTCCTATCCGATTTCCGTATTTAATTAAAATCCGAACGAAAACACGGGTCCCCTTATTAGCCGGTAACAAAGCTGACGTTCGTGCCATCTCTGAATCGACGCGAAAAATAGAACGAGTCACGTGACCGCCTTCCGATCGTAAGATTTCGATGTATGGTCTTTGCATCGAAATATGCGAAATAAATTTTCAACACGTCGAACGACGTGTCTGGTAGCGCTATCACGGGGACTCGAACGAACAGTAAAGTATCATATCTCGTTGATATAAAGCACTCGATCGTGCTCGATTATTTACACGCGAGCATTACGCCTGTATTAATAACCTCAAACGTCAGAATCACTGCGCGTACCTTTGTTAAGCTTCGCGTTAATTATTCCTGGGACAACGAACACGACCCGCGTTCACGTGTTCCTGGATTAACGTGCTTGTAAATTTTCTACCAGCTGCATAAATCTTATCAACAAATTGCAATTATGCAGCCTGCACGAAGTTGTTCGATACTTTTAGGTACACCGCATGAATCACGTTCGTGCCACACATTCTTGGAAAGTTACGAACTAGCTAAAGGAAAGGGTAAGAAGGTGGAAGAAGGAGGTATTAAAGGGAGGAAAGAAAATAAAACACTTACTAAACTTCGAGCACTCGGAAATAATCTTCGACGCGAGGAAACTGCGAAGACAATTCGACCAGCGTAGTTGCCGAAGCCGTGATGACGTCATCGAAAAAATACATCGAACGTTGAAACGGACGATACGTATGCGAGGGTAACGCGGAATAAAATTTGACGACCGATGAAAATGATCGAGTATCGCGTCACCGACGATGCAAACGCGACGTGTATCTCAGCTTCGTGCTTCTCTTTGAAGTTTCACTGATTCTCGTGTTTCCCGCCATTTTCGACGCCATAACGATCGTTCGAGCATTCGACTGATCTTGCTTCTGTCGATGTGGTCCGTTCGGTTTCGGATGCCATTTATTAATAGCGTCACGGTAACAACGAATCGCGTTGAAAAATATATACGTCCATACATTTACCGTATTATCGTATACATTGGATTACCGACGAGCGTGACGCCATGGTATCAAACGCACTTTCATCAAAATCCTATTTAATTACCGTTTTAATTGCAGCATAATATGGAATCTGCGTGCTACTATAAATGTAATTAATCGTAAAATGTAATCGCACAATATTATTGTTCGTTTAACCGTTCTTGTTCGGAGCCACGCACATCGAAGATTGTCGTTCGAAGATTGTCGAAGATCGAGGCAAATACGACAAATATCGGATAGATAACACGAATCGATCGATAAAACTTCACGAAACTTCGCTTTGTACGACAGCTCACTCCGAATTCCGTATATTTCTAATAAAAATATATCCATTTACGGCAGTCGATCGTCCCGCTCGAACGCGATCGAAATATACTAACTTCGAAAATCTAAAATGGTATCGCAGAGACATCTATGCCAAGATCGATATTTAATGAAATCTTCGCCATGTCGTGTCGATAATGCGACATCTCTACCATATCGACACTTCGTACTAGCTATACATGCATACATCTATTCACGCGTATGACTGAATTGTTTAAAATTATTAAGAACGAAACAACATTTCGGCGATATGCCGCGAATGAACGTAGCACGTATATTCGAGTGATGCTTTAATGAAAATATAACAGGTGTGTATCCCCTCTCACAAATGGGTACTTTTCCTCCGACTCGTTTCATTTCGTACATTAAAGGGCCTGGAAAACTTTCGTCCCATGCCGCAAGTATAATAAGGCGTACTTAATTGCAGCAACACTTGCTCCAACAACGCCTTTAATTCCACGTTATCGTCGCCGTTGTTATTTTCACGCTTGCTGAAAAAGGCCGTTTTCTTTAAGCCGCAGCAACTTTGGATCGTTACGGCGGTATTATTAATTAAAGCGCAAAGTGGTCGCGGTCGACCGCCGGGCGACCGAACTTTACCCGTTCGTTGCACGACAAGTTGCCCACCTTTTGCAGTCGCGCGAGTTTGCCGAGGCGAGCAGGAACAGCGCCTCCCTCAGCCTCGCCGGCACGCCGGGGGATGATTCATGGAAATAACGTTCGTGATAACCGAACGTAATTTTTGTGGGAATACCGCGCCTCGAGTCTAGCAGCCTGGCCAACCGAGGATGTAGCCAATTGCCGCGAAAGATTCGGTGTGATGTCAGCCTTTCTAAATGACCCACGAACTCGGCCTGCTTCAGCAATTGGCGAATGTGGCCCTGAATTCACGCAATTACATAGCTCGTGTATCTGTTCTCGTGCAAAAGAATACTCGGATAAGATAAGCGAGATAATATTCCGCGAGAGATTTAACCGCGGATGACAGCTATTTCCGCCAGCTTTGCGAATTATCCGTTCCGCGAGTTTCGATAGATCGGAGAAACGTTTCGTAACGGATAACGAAGACGAATGGGCAAAAGTATCGGTGGATCGTACCTCTTTCTCGAGACCTTGGATGTCATTGACCGCGAGGCCGATCATCAGGTTCATCAGGACGATACTAGCGAGCATGACGAAAGCAAGGAACACGACCCTGCTCGTGGCTGGTAGGAAGGAACTCCCATTCTTCTCGTCCGAGAACAGAGCCCCGTACTCGTACTCACCCATCATCATTACCACGGTCTTCACGACGGCCCTCCAGGAATTGCGAAACTGGTCGTTCCCGTGGAACAAAACGGCGAAGCTGAACGCGAATCCGACAATCAGGCAGACGAACGCTAGGAGAACCTGAAAGGAAATAAAAAGCCCCAGATGCACGTTGTTATAATCGCGAGAGAGGGTGGTAGGGCTGCGCGAAGTAGGGGTAGGCAAGTGGGTCCTGATGGGAGCCGTATCACCGACCAGACATTTAGAACCTTGCTTTTTCCTTTTCCCCCTTTAGCTTTTCATTTCTAACGATATTCGCCGAAGGGAAGAGCTCGTCGCTCTCTTGTGCCTTTCGTTTCGGCTAAATGCGGATCTTTCGTCGTACAAACGGAATTAAAAAAGAAAAATGAAAAAGAGAAGAAAACCCTCCCTCGGTATTAAATCAGGGTTAACGTTACCCTCCCGGTTGAAACCGTCTCCCGGTGAAAAACGGTGTTCTTACGGTGTCGAACGTGCCGGCTTTTTATTCGCACCCGTTTAACCGCGACTCGACGCGCTTTAACGAGGAAAATTGGGAGTTCTTCCTTCAACGGGGATTCCTCGTTACTTTTTCTCTCCCCGATTCGATCCTGCCGAGAACCGCCGTGGAAGAGTGATTATTTCGTGCACGACCAACTGAAACCCGCGCTTGATTACGTCCACTGACCTTCAGAATATTCTTCAGCACGGTGGAGAACATGAGCGCGTAATATCCGCACATTGGGAGGCGGCCGATTAACAGCATCATTTGCATCCAGGCGAGCAGGATTGCCAGGCTGATGCAGTGCAACAGCCACTGCGGGGGGTGTCGAGCAGGGTTTAATTCTTTTTCTCCCGACGAACTCGTCATCTCACTCGCGTAACCGCTAACCATCGAGATCGTTAGCGACATCAGGGCGCATGCGAACGATAGCCAGGTCTCGAATTGCCTCAGGTAATATCTGAAATATACGTTACGTCTGACGGGGTGGAAAATAGAATCGCGATAGAGGAACGAATCTGATTTCGCGTTAATTTCGCGTTAACGAACCTAGGCACCATCGACATCTGAACCACGTTGTGCAGGAAGAGAACGAAAGAACAGGAAGCGAGAATCCTCCGCAACGGGGTGCAATCAGTCTCGTGTTGCAGTATCGTTATGGAGTAACCAGACAGGGAAAGGACCAGCAGGGTGTGGACGAAGACGAGACTGAAGAAGAATACTCTCAGCTTGGACCACTTGAGCCACAGGAACGTTTCCACAAGCGGATGTTGCAGTATCGTCAATTGTTCCACGTTCGAGGCTGCTGCAATAAGGGACATAACTACTCCCATTTGCAGTTCCCCTTTTGGCGCTAGCACGTTGAAGTCAACGATGATCTTGAACGGAAAGCAGTAAAATACGGGAAACGTTAGACGTCTGTGAAAGGAATAAATCGCCCTGTCTCTTCTACCTGGGAACTTTTGTCGATGGAATTTACCCTGACACGGGAGTCCAAGATATCGTTTAGGAGCAGTACCGGGGTTGGTATATGAGCGAATATAGCGTCGATCACTGTGACTCCAGTTTTCGTTGCGGCAGCCAAGTTACCGCCATGATCGATCAATATTTGAACGCATTCGTGATGGCCTTGGTAAGATGCCCTATGCAATGGCGTTCGATTAATCTGTACATCGAAGAAAGGTAACGGAATCGTCAAGTGGCGATCATCGAGGAATTGGGGAAATTCTATTTAGAAGACGAAAGGTTAAATTGGGAAGAAAAATTTAAGAGATATAACCCACGTTATCTCGAATGTCCACGTGACGAGCCGGTACGTTCTCTAGCAGGATTGAAAGGGTCTCTGGGTTACCCGTGCTGGCAGCCAGATGAAGAGGAGTACTTCCTGTGCTTTTACATTGATAAAGAGGCCACGCACCACCGTTCAGTAACCTTTTCGTTGCTACGGGACTTCCTAGCGAGGCCGCTGAATGTAGCGCGGTAGTACCTGTAATGGTAGAAGAACGAAACGAATGAGATCAAACGGGAGATTAAAACGTTGCGAATGAGGTCGGATGTGGCTGGAAGTTTTGCAAATTTTCTGTCCCCGTCACATCGACTACGCCTCGTCATCTTCGAGTAGCTTCAACAGCTCGTCCCGCGATCTCGATGACCCCCCCGTTGAGAACCAACCGATCAGCAATGGCGCGATCTCGAGGAATCCTAATGTTTCTTGACCTTACGTTCCGCGTAATACCTGTATCTGGGTGAATGGCGTTTGCCATAGCCTTAGCGGTAACGAGCGTATCGATGATGTCGTTGAATTTCGAAACCTCGTCGGAGTCTTCTTTCGCAACTGTGCATCCTGCCAGGAGCAACGGCGTGATTCCACGTTCATCTTTGACGTTTACGTCTGCTCCGGCGTGTACCAGGATCTTCACGACAGCGGAGTGATTGTTCTTCACGGCTTGGTGCATGGGTGTTCGTCCCCAACACTCTGGCGCGGGTAACTGGAAGCACAATCGATCGATGATTTCCGTTTTCCTAGGCGGCGAGTTCATCTCGAGGTTTTTAACTTTGATCGCAATCTCGGAAATGAAATATTTTCCGGATTATGACACTAACGTCTCGGCCGATGAAGCAAGGGTTCAAAGAGCAGCCGGAAATGTTCTTGTAGCAGTACTCGACTCCGCTTCTAGTTTCCGTGGAGGCTCCGTGCTGCAGCAGCCAATTCACCACCTCTGCGTTTCCACGATGAGCCGCGTGAAACAGCGCGCATCTCCCGATCTTGTCCGTGGCGTTAATATCGGGTCGACTTGCGTACAATAAATCCAACAGCTCGATGTTACCCTTCCAGGCTGCCAATTGAACAGCAGTCACGCGAAGCACTCCGACCGGCTGTAAGAATTTTTTATCGAATCTCTCGACGAAGATTCGCACCGCTGTTTGCACGTCGTCGTTTTCGATGGATGTGATAAAATTTAAGTGATCATTCTCCGAATTCATTTCGACGGAAGCTCGCAGCTGCAGCGATTCAGGTGCACCGTCCTACGGGCCCTGTTCCCGTTTCACTCGTCTGTTACGCACTGGCATTCGATCAACGTCGGTGTTGATAGACATATTGTACTAATCGCAGGATGTGGTCAGTCATAGAACTACGTGCCCCGTGTGTTTTTATCGCAGCTTTAAAAATATATTACCCGGTTACATTATCCTCGGACGATAACGCCAACGATACCCCAATTTTCTTCGCGTTTGTTCATTTCGTACGCTACTGACTCGAGAACAACCGTGAGCTGCCTCGAACCTTCCATCTTAATGAAAATCGGAGTACGTAAACAACGCGTCACGTCCGATCACGCCAACGATAGCCCAATTTTCCTCGCGTTTGCTCGTTTCATTCTACGCTCGACTCGAGAACAACCGCGAGCCGTCTCGAACTTTCCTAGTAAAAATCCGAGTACGCAAACAACGCGTCACGTCCGATCACGATTATTCTAATCGCGAACCGCGTTGAACCAGCCACGAAACAAATACGTCTCCCGATTCTCTGCACCTAGTCCGGACTAATTCCAGTTTCCTCTGACCCGCTTCGGTCCGCGTCGATACCGTGTTTGCTCGTCAATTTACCTTCGACTCTTCCCGTTTCGTCAACCGCACTGTCCCTCAGCCTTACCCCAATTCCAGTTCTCCACCGGCAACCCACATATCCGTTTCATCCTCGCCGGCGAATCTCGTTCGGTTGCATTCCGAGTGCAGCGATCCGCCCCGTTATTTGCGTATACGCGCGAGTATACCGATCGACGCGGTCCGCGTTGAATACTCATGAACAGCCCTGTACTTGGGTATGCGCTTTCGATAACGAATCTGTCAACAATGGATAACGGGATCGGTTCGACCGGGAACGTCGGAGGAGAGCGATTCATCGGTGGAAGAAGTGGAAGCTCTGGAGCGGCGACCGTTAGCGGTTACCGGTGTATACCAACACAGCCGCGAGGAAGACGCTCCGCACCGTCGCAAGTTCAGGTGCACGCACATGGAAACGCGCACACGCGGACACTCGGGTGTATACGTACACACACGGACGCACGCACACGCTGTCGGGATACCAGTTTCGAAGTCGAGCCGACGCGACCTTAACACGGGTTTCTCGCACGCGCACACACACGTACGACCGGCGTTAACACACGTTCGTACGCTCAATCAACTAGAGAGAATCGCGTTACCTTGCAGAACGCGGGCCCAGTACGCGCTTGACCACGCTGCCGAGAGGAGCCCGTTCGCCGCTTCCGCAGCTGTTCCAGCGAGAACGACACTTCACTCATCATGCCCAACTGTCCAAAGTGCGACAAGCCGGTCTATTTCGGTGAGTACTCCATGGTCCCTGAATACCGTCGCATCCTCTCGCGAGTTGCGTCGCTTCTTCCTTGGTCCTCCGTCATTTCGTCGCAGAGGCTCCACGGAATTCCGCGTACGAATCGCGAGAATCCAGCATTCGGTTTACGTATTATATCCGTGGGAAATATCGCGCGTTCCACGCTAGCTAGAGATAGGTTTCCGCCAAGTTCCATTGCGCCTAACTGCTAGAGGATCGTCGACGCGGAGATCTCGGTAACAGGGAAATCGGTACGCGAAGTTACTCGCGGATTTATGCCAGGCTCGCTTGATATTCCGCGATTTGCATACCTTTTTCTACGCGATGACTTAATGCCAGGTTTGCGAGGAAGCCGATCGTCTGATCGATAATTATAAACGTTGCCCAATCGAGTATCGTTTCGCGATCCGATGACGCATCCGCCTGCTCCTTTCTGCACTCGCAGCGTCCACGAAATCGCCGGTACGCACGATTGCGTACATCCTGCCGCAGGAAATTCGCGTCACGATGCCCGTGTTTATACCATATCCGCGACAGTGTGCGCGAAATGACGACACCAATGATGTCATTGCACGTCCTCGCGGTCCACCTTGACAAACATTATGTCAACTCAACCTCGTTCCGTCGTGTGCCAGCAGACGTGTAACGCGAACACCGGGTAATACGAGTCACTAGGAAGGAAATTTTATACAATGAAATGTATCGCGGAGTGATCGAGGATTTCCACGCGACGTCGATCGCGTCGATTTGCTCGGCGAGGAAAAATAGATCGTTGGAATTTTAGAACGAGTTAGCCGAGTAGCATAGCTCGTGGGAAAGCTGACGGACATTATCGTTACTCGATTATCGCGATGCACGGGGACACGTTGATTTTGGAAGACTCTAATCCCTTTAACGATTCGACGTTGATCGATCATAGGCGAAACCTCGTTTCCTTTTACCGAGGTAACGGTAATTGGTAATAAAAATAGAGCAACCTCGACTCGCGTGTTATAAAACGCTTTTTCGTTCTGGGTAGTTATGATAATTTAACCATTCGTTTACGCTATCTCTGGAATTACTACGGAAGGTTATATTCATTGTTGCCGAGATAGCCTTCGGTGTTGACGAAAGGAGTTTACGGTAAAGTTCTTCGCCGAGCAAGTTTATAAGCGGTTTTGCGAAATCAATAACCGATATTTCGAGGTACAGAACGGCGACGATAATTCGCGTCTTTGGATATTTTGATCGTGGTCTCACTGGAGATCCAATATGTCACAGGGACAGTCGCTTTCCTCCTTAGGAGGTCGAAGAATGCATTTATCTGAGCAGGTAGATCGCTCGTAACTTATATCTGTCGTGGTTCGTGCTAGGCATCCGATGTTCGCAAGAGATTATCGTAGAATCTAGGATCGTGGATATTACACAGCACGCAATTTTATCGACACCCTTCGATATCGAAGATACGCTTGTTCAACTTGGGGCGAAAACAGGGGTGCGAAGCTGAGGACACTTCGTTAAAAGTTTCGTACGTCGCACGAGATACCACTCTGTTTCATTTTCAGTTCAATACTTTACAAGACAGCTTACCTAAAATCGAGTATCGGAAG